CCTGGCACCTCAAGGACCATGTGAAGCTTCCTGATACTAACCTTATCCTGATGCCCTTTTCCATGGAGTTCCTGTGCTGAGCAGAAACAACAAAGGTAGAGAAGATGGAGCAGGAGACCAGAAGGGTCTGCTCTCCTCTCCTCCTGTAAATGAGCACACCAAAGGCTTATAACTACACAAACTTTTGAGGTTATCAATCGAAGCTCCTACTCGATGCAGGAATGCCCTCTACAGCATCTCTGTCAAATGATCCTTCTATATTTACTTGAACTGTTCCCAAACTAGGGAAAGCATTATTACAAAGCCCCAGTGAACGTCCTCACATACCTTTATTTTCTATAATTGTGCTAGTATTTCTATAGGAATTGCTGAATCAAGGGTATGCACATATTACATTTTGATAGCAGGGAACAGATTGTGCATGTGTTCCACACATAGGTGTTATAGTGATTTATACAAACTTAGGGCATGGCAGTCACAGGAAGACAGATTACAGTTCAAACAAAGGAAGAATTCTCTAATCATTAAAAACACACCACAACAGGTGTGCCTGGGTGGCTCAGCTGGTTAAGCTTCCGACTTCAGCTCAGGTCATGATCTCAGTTTGTGAGTTAGAGCCCCACATTGGGCTTTCTGATGTCAGCATAGAGCCCACTTCAAATCCTCTGTCCTCCTCTCTCTCCTCCCCCTACTCATGTGTGTGCATGCTCTCTCTCTTAAAAATAAATAAACATTAAAACAAAAGATTTAAAAAAACTCATCTGCTTTGATTGGAGTAGTAAGCATTCAAGAAGAGACTGAACTATCATGATGCTATAGATGGGTATGAGATTAGAGCAGGTAATATATAAGGAATATCTGAAATTGAGTCTTGTGGTAAATTCTGGAACCTCTCCAATGTGGCAAGTCTGTCAGTGGTGGGCCATTTAGGAATGGATTCTTTAACATGAGATATATTTTCCAGGTGAGCCACAGAAAGCAGAAAGCTTTGCAGCTTTTAAATGTTCTTCCCAAAGCCTCTGGCCCCATTTTGCGAATTGCAGCAGAGACCTAGTGTGAGCTCTTCTCATCTGACTCAGTAATAGGCATGTCCACTATGTTCCCAGCCAGGAGAGCCTGAGGATTTCTATAACCCTCCACCGATGGTCTCAGGAGATAAATGGGCTTTTCCCAATAGGCAAAGAAGTTGTCCACGTGTCTGAAGGAATACATACCTGCAAGTAGTGAAAACAGCCATCGGCAGGCTTCAAGTGCAGCTGCTGTTTCCCAAATTTCAAAGGAATCAGCTGGGATAGCTCTAAAGTCTTTGCAGGCCTGTGACCTTTTCCTTTGATGACATGGCCATGCCCCCAATGCTCTTCATAGCCTATGACTGGTCAGGTCAACAGCATGACAGAAAGTGGCAGAGAACAGGGCTGGTGGATACAATGTCTGTCTCACCACTTGGCTGTGTATATCCATCATGTCCTCTCTTTTGCTGATCTGAAGTTTCTCTCAAACACTGGTGAGTGCTTGAATACATCATACTTTCCTTCCTTCCTTGTCCATCTGCCACTGAAGCTTCCTTTAGAGGTATTAAAACCGTCCACTAAACATCCACTAGTTATTAGTGCAGTAACATGAATTTACTACCCACATTTATGGTTTATCAAGAAAAGTTCTGCCTCTGGATTTTACTGCCTCAAAGGAGTCTGTAATAGGATTCTTTGCCATATAACAAATTATCTCAAACTTACTGGCTTAAAACAACACTCATCCATTATCTCACAATTTCCATGGGTCAGGAGTTTGGGCATGGCTTCAGTGAGTCCTCTGCCCAGGATCTCACAAGGCTGCAATCAAGGTGTACACCAGGGCTGTGGTCTCAGCTGAAGCTTGGGGTCCTCTTCCAAGCTCACATAACTCTTGATCAAATTCATTTTTTTGAAGCTGTGCAACTCATGGTGCCTCTATCACAGCTCCCTGTCTGTTCCCTTTACAGCATAAATCACAACTAATTTTTTTGTCAGTGAATTCCTTGACAGAAAGAACCTAGCACAGTGGTTTAGCACACAATTGTTAACTTAATCAAGTATTATATCTGGCTATTTGTAATCCATATTATTTTATTAGTTTGCCAGCACCTTGAGGGCTGAGCCCATAATTATTTGTTTCCCTAGTCCAGGGCCTGGCTTAGCGTTGCTCAAATCTGATTTTTGCTTTTGCTTTTTTTTTTCTTTAACATTTATTTACTTTTGAGAGAGAGCAAGTGAGGGAGGGGCACCGAGAGGGGTACAGAGGCTACAAAGCGGGCTCTGTGCTGACAGCAGAGAGCCCAAAGAGGGGCTCTGACTCACAGACCGCGAGATCATAACCTGAGCTGCAGCCGCAGGCTTAACGCACTGAGCCACACAGGCACCTCTCAAATCTGATTTTTGAAAAATATCAATCAGGTACACGAATAAAGGTGAGGACTGGAGAGCAAGAGAAGGCGTAGCAATCTGAGGGATTTGGGGGGGAAAAATCATGCTGGAAGAAAACCCAAGAGGCCAAGAGCACAGCTCAGCCATTTTACTCAAGTTTCAACAAGGATGCCCATCCCCGCATGACGTCAGAGAAGACTTCGAGCAGCTGAAGATACGCCTCTCGCGAGAGGAAAGATAGCTCGCGAGCGAGTGTACGCCAGTCCGGCCCCGCCTTCCCTGAGCCCCACCCACTCCCCGGTCCTCACTCCCACCTTGAACCAGCCACGTGTGACGCCATGACGCATGCGTGGCCGCGGCGCGGGGGGCGGGCCCGCGGCGCGCCACCGGAGGAGGAAGTGGTGCGGTTGTTGCTCCCTCTGCGCCCACTGCTGGCTCCCGGGGCGCGGAGAGGGGCAGCTGCAGCAGCCGCCGCTCCGTCGCCCTGCTTACTACTGTTTCCCTTCATGTGCTCCGGCGCCGTCGCTCCCCTTCCTCAGGCCGCCGTTTACCCCGGGGTCTATGGAAGTAATGGAAGGACCCCTCAATCTGGTGAGTAGTCCGCTGAGGGTCGTGTCCGCCGTCGGGAGCCTTTGCTTCAGGAGTCCTGTCGCGCCTCCAGCGTGCTGCTGACCCTCGAGGCCGGGAGGCGGGTTTGGCGGGGGGTGGTCCTGAGGGGTGGAGGAGGGGGGCAGGCGTGGTCCCACATCGGCTACGCGAAAGGTGCCCCAGACGTTGCTCCCTCTGGCATCCCCGGGAAGCTATCACGTCTCATTTCCCGGCTCCCCGAAGCGTACCCTGCTGCAGTGCAGTGAGTGAGGGGCTTCCACCAGCCGGGAAAGCCACCTACTCTTCAGGCTAGAGGAAATGCTTCCACGCGCCACGTAACCACCTCTCTGCAGCCTGGAGGGGCACTGAAGCCGGCCAGCGCAGCAGTGGTGTGAAATACTGGTTTTAACTTCTAATACATAGGGTCTGAAGTCTCAGCTTTATTACGGTGGAGAGTTGGAGTAATACCCCCTCTCACTCCCTTCTCTTCCTCCACCCATTCATTTCTCGCCTACATTCAGATGCATAAACTGAGGATCACCCTTCTCGAATAAGTTGGAGACAGCTGGAAGAAAACAGGGCCGTCCCTGATTTTAGCTCCGTTTCATCACTTTAGGCATCGTGAAAATACGGTAGATGTTTGCCCCTTCAGAAAAAGCGCTCATAGGCCATTTACTTATTACTGTAGGCTTTTCTGATGATCTCATTAAAACAAAAACGAGAAGCACGAGTTCTTTTCTGACTGACCACTGCATCTTTTGGTTTCCTAGAGGGTACCTATTTTGGTTACTTAAGATTCCTTAAGGTTGTAGCCAGACAGGAGGAACTTGTACAGGCACAGGTTTGCATGCCGTTCACTTGCGCTGGTGGGCGATGTTGGCATTGGGGAAAGGGTGTGTGGAGAATTCGTTTCTCAGGTTGGAACTCTGAATCCTAGTGTCGTGAAAGACCCCCGGCTTCATTTAAACCATTCTATAGAGAAGCAATGGAGCACGGTGGCTTAAGACTATAGATTCTGGAGCTCTGCCGCTTCGGTATCAGTTCTGGCTTTGACACTTAATAGCTGTGTGACCTTGGGTACGTTTGTTGACCTCACCCTCTTTCCTGGTTTGTTGTGAGGATTAAAGGAGTAAATAGGTGTAAACAGTACCTTGTCCCTAGTACAGTGTAAGAGTTAGCTATTATAGTAATCAGACCATAAGCTCTTAATTTAAAATCTCATTTGTAAAATGAGGTTTGGATTTGCTGAGCTTGAAAAGCCTAAGATTCTAGGACCTAAAGCTGTTTTTCCCAAATGACTGGTGCCAGGTTAGCTGCTCTGAGAAGCGCCTCCTAGTTTTAAGTTAAGCCCACCCCCACTGGTAAGAGTTGTTTACACTTAAAAAGAATTGGACTAGATTTGTGAGTTTTTAAAAACCAGGGACACATCTTGCACTTTTTGTTTTTAAGGTCACATATAGTTTACAGTGAAATAGAATGGGTGGCTCAATACTGAAACTTCACAGGAATATTATTAGAAATAACCAGCAGTTTACAGAGTGCTTCAAAGTTCAAGTGTCCTTGCAAAATGACCATTGGTTCAGTTCCAGTTAGCTTCACTTTATTTGGCCAGAGGCTGCAGTATATACTGAGCCAAGTGCCCCACTAGTGTATGGTAGCTTGTGAGAAGACGGCAGCTGGGTGACAGTTGTAGATGGGGCAGCAGAATCACCAGTTTAGGAAAAATTAGTTAAATGGTGACAATAGTATTTTTATAGAGGAGAATTTGGGAAAGAGCCTCGTTAAGCAGGCTAGGATAAAATGTATGTGGACAAGTATCAGAAATTTGGCATCTTGAACTCTGAAACCATTTGAGATTTGAAAGATATGAGTTGTAGCCGAGCCGTTAGAAGAGAACAGTTGAACAGAGATTAACATTTAACTTGAATCATTGGAATTGTACTTGTAAATAAGTACCAGTGGCAGGCCTCGGAATTTGTCACTCAGTTTTAAAAGACTGTTTTTGTTTGTTTTTGTTTTTTGAAGGTGATCACTTTTTTTATGTCAGTTAAACAACTTAGTATCAAGTTGACTGAACCTGAGAAATAGTTCTCAATACTAGGATTTAATGAGTACCTTTGAAAATCCCAGTAGTTTATACAGGCTTTTTCTAATGACATTATAGTGTAGTCCAGATTTGTTGTATCAGGACTTATTACAGTACCTAGATTTATAAATATGTGTTCTCAGAGCATCCTTGGAATTTAGGAAGAACTGCTTCCCAGTTCTACAGAGAAATAAGCCTAGACTGAGAGAAATTAAGTAATGACTTAGATCAGTGGGTCGCAACTTATTTTAGTATCATGACCTTTTCTAGCAGTACTTCTGAATTAATGTACAGTACTCACCATTTTCATTTCAATATGTTCCTTATTTATATTGAACTGTGGATTCTGTGTCATTTAGTGTCTCTGCTTTAGTGTTGATTCTCTTATGTTAGGTTTGGAGTAAAGGCCATATAGGCTTAACTGCTGGTAGTAGATTTTTAAGATACAGAAAAGACTGGTTCAACTTAGTCATTTTTTAAATTTATTTTTTAAATGTTTATTTTTGAGGGGGGCGAGGGGCAGAGAGAGAGACAGGATCCGAAGCAGGCTCTGTGCTGACAGCAGAGAGCCAGGTGCAGGGCTTAAACTCATGAACTGTGAGATCATGACCTAAGCCACCCAGGTGCCCCCAAAATAGTCATTTTAATATGTAATACAGACATTGTATTCTAGTTCTCTTGTTTTTGAAATTGGACAGATGAAAAATAAACTAAATCATATTTCCATCGTTGGGGGGAATAGCTAGTCTTTGGACTGAATAAGTTTTGTTTCATCAGTTTTTTATTTCTTTCTGTGAATTTTTAATATGGAAAAATTGTAACTTGTAAAGTTACTTGGTGTATATTTAGGCCTTTCTTTCCATTTAATTTTGGCAAAGTGGGTGCTGTGCTGGTAGCAAATGTCAAAACTTGTGTGACATAATTTGTAGTTCTTTAATTTGTTTACTGCCTATTTGGGAAGTGATGTCAGACTAATTTACACATGACTGTTGCTCATGCTTTGCTTACCTACTCTGCAGACTCTGAGAACAGGGTCCATGTGACTGTGGCCACAGTTGTATGTTTTTGGCCGTATTAAGGGTGCCGAGAATGTTGGTTGAGTAACTGAGCTTCTCTCTAGAGTGGTCAGTTCTCATCTCAGACAAGGAATCCAATACCATGTTTCAAAGAATGGCCTTTTACATACCTGAATTCTTTGTAATTATCATATCTTAATTATGTTGGCGGTAAAATCTTTAAGGTAAAAATGAGGCTGTTTTGAACCACTTCCTTGTTGCCCTGAAAAATTTCAAGGAAAGTTCATCCTGTCACAAGTTAGGTGGGGCTCAATGGAAGGACTGGGGAAAGGTGGTAGAGCACTAAGACTTACCCAACAATTACTAAGTGCTGGGATTGGCATCAGGCACTTTATGTATACACTTGACCCTTTTTAAAAAATATTTATTTTTGAGCGAGCACAAGTGGGGGAGGGGCAGGAGAGGGGGACAGGATTCGAAGCTAGCTCTGTGCTGACAGGCTGACAGCAGTGGGCCCAATGTGGGGCCGGAATTCAAGAACCACGAAATCATGACAAATGAGAACATAATTTAAATATGCCTCCATTGTATTACCAGTATTTACATAAATTTAAATATTTGTTTCCATGACCCTAACAGTCTTTATTTATTAAATGTTTCACATTTCTATTTAAATTCCAGTATCACATAATAATAGTTTCAGGAGTAGAATTTAGTGATATCACTTACATATAACACCTAGCGCTCAATCACAAGTTCCTTCCGTAATACCTGGCACCCATTTCGCCCATCCCCCTCCCACCTCCCTTTCAGCAACCCTCAATTTGTTCTCTATAGTTAAGAGTCTCTTTTATGGTTTCATTTCTTTTCTTTTCTTTCTTTCTTTCTTTTCTTTTCTTTTCTTTTCTTTTCTTTTCTTTTCTTTTCTTTCCACTATGTTCATGTGTTTTGTTTCTTAAATTCCACATATGAGTGAAATCATATGGTATTTGCTTTTCTCTGGCTTCTTTCACTTAGCATAATACATTCTAGCTCCTTTCACATCGACAAGATTTCATTCCTTTTGATGGCTGGATAATATATATACACGATATTCCAGTGTGTGTGTGTGTGTGTGTGTGTGTGTGTGTGTGTGTGTGTGTGTGTGTGTGTGTGTATACATACATACACATATACACCACATCTTCTTTACCCATCAGTCGATGGATATTTGAGTTCTTTCCATAATTTGGCTGTTGTCAGTTTGCATTCCCACCACCAGTGCAAGAGGGTTCTCTTTTCTTCACATCCTCACAAACATCTATTGTTTCCTGTGTTGTTAATTTTAGTCATGCTGACAGGTGTGGCCTGATACTCATTATAGTTTTGATTTGTATTTTCCTGGTTATTGATATTGAGCATCTTTTCATGTTTCTGTTAGTCATCTGTATGTCTTTGGGAAAATGTCTATTCATGTCATCTGCCTATTTCTTAAAACTGGATTATTTGTTTTTTAGGTATTGAGTTTTATAAGTTCTTTATATATTTTGGATATTAACCCTTTATTGAATACGTCATTTGCAAATATCTTCTCCAATTGCAGAGGTTGCCTTTTAGTTTTGTTGATTGTTTCCTTCCCTGGGCAGAAGCTTTTTATCTTGAAGTCACAATAGTTCATTTTTGCTTTTCTCTTGCTTCTGGAGATGTGTTTAGTAAGAAGTTGCTATGGTAGATGTCAAAGAGATTCTTGCCTGTGTTCTCTGGGATTTTCACTATCTCTTGTCTCACATTTAGGTCTTTCATCCATCTTGGTTTTATTTATTTTTAAATTTAATCTTTTAATGTTAAGTTTTGAGCGAGTGAGTGTGTAGAGAGAGAGAGAGATAGAGCATGGGGGGTGGGGGGAGAGAAGGAGACACAGA